CATCCGGATCCTCTCTCCCATCCTCGAGATCCTGCCCTTTGTGAACCATCGCAAAGTCCTTTCCGCTGGATGAGGTCAATGTCAGGCACATGTCCTGGGCCATAAAGGCGTGGGTCCCATTTGGGGGGACTTTATCTTGCCGCCCACAGAAGGGCCTCAGTCCCACAGCTTGTACAGGTGGGGCCCGGGACATGGAACCCCCACCCAACGGCTGCTCCGTTCCCTGCTTGGGGCGTCACCCTCTGGCCCATTGGTCCCTAGCGAGTTTGCATCTTGGCCTGGGCACTTCACCTTTGGTCCCTGCGCAGTTCTCTATCCCAGGCCTCAAAGGATCCAGGGGATCTGATAACGGAAAACCTGCAACTGCAGCAGCCGAGTCGTGACTTCTGTGCTGCAGTCTTCCACAGCCTCCCTGGACGTCCTCGCTCAAGCCCTGGGCCGCCCAGCTCTAGCCACAATGCGGCCTGGGCCTTGCCCATCGCCCAAGTGAATATTTGTTCACTTCACACCACGCATTCTGACCGCTGCGGTGTGTGCGCCTTGCCTGTGTGGCCAGAGCCCATTCTTAGGCCTCACTTACTCTGCAGCCCCAGCCTACCAGGCCAGACTAGGCATGCAGCTGAGGACTCCAGAAATGGTCTCAAACGGGCCGAGCGCCAGTGGCTCACGCCTGTAATCCAGCACTTCTGGGAGCGCTGAGGCAGGTGGATCGCAAGGTCAGCGAGTTCGAGACGCAAGCCTGGCCAACATGGGTAAACCCCGTCCTGACTCAAAAATAGAAAAAATTCAGCCCAGGTAGGGTGGGCGCAATGCCTGTAGTCCTCAGTTTACTCGGGAGCTGAGGTAGGCAGGAGAATTCGCTGACAACCCGGGAGGGAGGTTGTGCTGAGTTGAAGATCGCAACATTCACTCCAGCCTGGGTGACAGAGCGAGACCGCAAGTCTCACAAAACAAAAAAATGCTCAATGGAAAGAAGCGTGTGTTTGCTCAAGATCTCGGCTCCGCTGGTTGATGCACACTGACAGCTTGTAACGCGAAACACACCCCGTGGCGATCCGCCCGTGGGCCTAAAAAGAACGTTGTGCCTCAGACTTTCGTGCTAAAGAATCCAAGCAGCACGCCAGCCCCTTGGAGAGATTCCACTCCCCCGTGTGAAGAAGATCTGAGCCCTGGCTCATCGCCCGGAATGCAGGCTGGTGCAGATCCGTCCCCCTCTTGTTTGGAAGGGTGGAATGAAGGCTTGCAGCTGGAGGATGGGTAAGGAGGGTGCTAAGGGAAATGCCTAATCAACTGCATGCTTTTTTAACAGGGGCCTGTTCCAGCCCCGCCACTCGCTGAACCACCCTTGTATATGGCACAGTCCTCTCAATCAACCCTATGTCATGGTCCGCTGGCTACTGGGTCTCCTCTTTAGCCCTCTCGAACAAGTGCCGTCCCTCTATTGAAAAGTTTGATAGGCTTGTCCGGCCCAAACAGCTCTCTAAACATCATCCTCCACGTTCAGAGCCCAGGCCTCCCTGGAAGACCCACGCCCGATCCAGGGCTGCTTGCTGCCAAGGGAAAGCAAGAATGAGCAACCCGGAACATCTCATGTCCCCGGAAAGTGAGGACGCCACTCCAACTGTGAAGTAGACACGTGGAAAACCAATCTGGGGTGATCCTGAATACAAGAATAGGTAATGATGATATATACAGTCCGGGAGACTCTGATTAAAGAAACGTGTGACCTACGCTGAATTAAATCAGTTGGATACCCTGGGCGAGCGGAACAGCTTCTTCTTTACAGTGAAAACTGATTGCTGAATGGCAACTCGTGAAGCTCTACTGTCTCATCATGGGCTGGCCTGGCTGAAATAGTCCTTGCGACAGACGCTGCCAGGCGGTGACTGTCTAATGAGGCAAGCCTTCTCCATTCAGCAATCAGTTTTCAACTGTAAGGAAGAGCTGTTCCGCTCCCCAGGTATCCACTGATTTAATTCAGCGTAGGCTCACACGTCTTTAATCGAGTCTCCGGACTGTATACATCATTACCTATTTTGTCATTCAGATCACCCCAGATTTGGGTTTTCCATGTGTCTACTTCACTCAGTGGGTGCGTCCTCACTTTCTGGGACATGAGATGTTCCGGGCTCATTCTGCACTTTCCCTGCCACAGCCCTGGGATCGGCTGGGTCTCCAGGGAGCCCTGGCTTCTGAACTGGAGGATGATGTTTAGAAGCTGTTGGGCCGGACACCTATCAACTTCAATAGGGACAGCACCTTGTTCGAGAGGCTAAAGAGGAGACCCAGAGCCAGCGACCATGACATAGGGTTGATTGAGAGGACTTCCATACAGGGTGGTTCAGCAGTGGCGGGCTGGACAGGCCCCCTGTAAAAAAGCATGCAGTTGATATAGCATTTTCCCTTAGCACCCTCCCTCTACCATCCTCCAGCTGGCAAGCCTCATCCAACCCTTCCAAACAAAGGGGCAGGATCTGCACAGCCTGCATTCCGTGCAATGAGCCAGGGGCTCAGATCTTCTTCACACGGGGAGTGAATCTCCAGGCTGGCTGCTGCTGGATTCTTTAGCACGAAAGTCTGAGCACACGTTCTTTTTAGCCCACGGGGGCATCCACGGGGTGTGTTTCGGTTACAGCTGTCAGGTGCATCAACCAGCGGAGCCGAGATCTGAGCAACACACGCTTCTTTCCATTTGAGACATTTTTTGTTTTTGAGACGGCGTCTCGCTCTGTCACCCAGGCTGGAGTGCAATGTTGCGATCTCAACTCACTACAACCTCCGCCTCCCGGGTTCAAGCAATTCTCCTGCCTCAGCCTCCCGAGTAACTGGGACTACAGGCATGCGCCACCCTACCTGGCTAATTTTTCTATTTTTAGTAGAGACGGGGTTTACCATGTTGGCCAGGCTGGTCTCGAACTCCTGACCTTGCGATCCACCTGCCTCAGCCTCCCAAAGTGCTGGGATTACAGGCGTGAGCCACTGCGCTCGGCCCGTTTGAGACATTTCTGAGTCCTCACTGCATGCCTAGCTCTGGGCTTGGGCTGGGGCTGCAGAGTAAGTGAGGCCTAAGAATGGGCTCTGGCCACACAGGGCAAGCGCACACCACCGCAGGCGGTCAGCAAATGCTGGTGTGAAGTGAACACTATCACTTGGGCGATGCAAGGCCCAAGGCCATTGTGGCTGAGCTGCGCCCAGGGCTCGGAGCGAGACGTCCAGGAGGCTGTGAAGACTGGCCACACAGAAGTTCACGACTCTCTGCTGCAGTTGCAGGTTTTCCTAATCAGATCCCCCTGGATCCTGAGGCCTGGATAGAGAAACTGCGCAGGACAAAGGTGAAGTGCCCAGGCCAAGATGCAAACTCTGCAGGACCAATGGCCAGAGGGGTGACCCCCAGCAGGGAACCGAGCAGCCAGTAGGGGTCCATGTCCCGGCTCCCACCTGCACAAGCTGTGAGGCTGAGCCCATCTGTGGGCGGCAAGATAAAGTCCCCCCAAAATGCCCACGTCCTTATGCCCAGGACCTGTGCCTGCATTACCTCATCCAGCGGAAAGGACTTTGCAGATGTCATCAAAGGCAAGGATCTCGAGATGGAGAGAGGATCCCGGATGCTCCGATGGGCCCTCCATGGAATCACAGGGCCTTTGTAGGAGGAAGGCAGGAGGGAGAGGCGGAAAAGGAGATGCAGTGACAAAGCGGAAGTAGAAGTGGCGGCCACAAGCCGAGGGACATGTGCAGCCTCTTGAGGGCCAGGAGTGGATTCTCCCCAGAGACCCTGGGAGGAACAGGACCCTGTCCACACCCTCACTTTGGCTCTGTGAGGCGCATTGGAAGTTCAGAGCAGCGGGGTCCTACGAGTGGTGTGGTCTTAATCTTCTGAGTGTGGGGCAGCTTGTCACAGCACACTGGGAAACGCAGGCAGCTTCCCTCCTTGCTGGGCTCCGGGGAGACTGGAGGAAGGCAGCTGTGGGAAAGGCGGCTTGTGCGGGACAGAACTCACCTCTTTTCTTGCAGAAAGACCTGGAGCGTTTGGCGCCTTCAGGGCAGCCAGGCATTTGCTTGGTCTCCCCTAATCCTGGGAACCTGCTGTGTTGCAGACGAGGCTTCTCCCACCCGTGTGGCTGGGCCTGCCGCTGGGACCCCTCCCTGGCAGATGGGGGCTTATCCCACAGGTAAACATCCTGCGCCCCACGCAGGGCTTCAGGTTCAAATCTGGGCTGTGGCGCTCCCTGGGCATCCAAGAGTCTAACCCAGGGCTTCTCAACGTGTGGCCTCAGACTTCCCGCCTTAAAATCACGTAGGAGTAGAAGGAGGGGCTTGTTAAATGCGGATGCCCAGGTCCTGCACCCAGAGGGGGACATAGCCCCTGGGGGCTCCCTTAAGCATCCCTGTATGCGTCTGAACAAAGAGGGGACATGGGTCCTGGGGGCTCCATGGGTGACACCGTGGGGAGGGGCTTCGCAGGTGCCATGTGGTAAGAAGTAGGTGAAAGTGCCCTCTGTGTGGTGGTGTGAGGCATCCAGGCACAGGCTTCCCAGGGATGGGATCTCCGCAGGGCACGGGCGGAGGGAGGCAGCCCCGGGCTGGGGAGCAGAGCCCACAGAGGGGGCCCAGGAAGTTGTGGGCTGTGGAGGTGTTAAAAAGCCGCTTACCCTGGAGACCCCCCAACCCCCAGCTGGGGAGGAATGGAGACCCCAGCATCCACGTTGGCTTTTCACCTTTGCTGTGATGCCCGACTGTCCTCTGACTTCCCTTTTGTGTGGTCAGCACTGCTGGTGGCCACTTGGGATGACCAGGATGCGTTAGGCAATAGGACAGGTTATTTAGAATTTGAAAATGCAGGCCGGGTGCGGTGGCTCGTGCCTGTAATCCCAGCACTTTGGGAGGCTGAGGCAGGTGGATCACTTGAGGTCAGGAGTTCAAGATCAGCCTGGCCCATATGGAGAAACCCCATCTCTACTAAAAATACAAAAATTAGTTGGCACACACCTGTAATCCCAGCTACTTGGAGGCTGAGGCAGAAGAATCACTTGACCCCAGGAGGCAGAGGTTGCAGTGAGCCGAGATTGCGCCATTGCACTCCAGCCTGGGCGACAGAGCGAGACTCTATTCTAAAAAAAAACAACAACAAAAAAGGGATAATGCAATGCCCACCCTCTTATGGGAGCAGGAACTTCAGGCCATCACAGCGCAGGAACCATTGTGGAATGATGGGCTGGTGTCTCCTGTTGGAGGAGTGGATTCCGGATTCCAGAGGTATCCGGACTGGCCCTTCCCCCATAGCGGGTGAGGGTGTTTGCTCAACGGTCCCTTAGCAGAAAACTCTCAGGCAGGTGCTTCAGGGTTATTCAAAGGTGTGAGAATCCGTCTCTGCCTCTGTCTCATTTCCGTCTGTCTCTCCAGCTTTCCTCCCTCTCTCCCTCCCATTTTCTCCCCTCTCCCTCCCTCTCTTCCTCCCATTTTCTCCCCTCTCTCTCCCTCTCTCCCTCCTGGTTTCTCTCCCCTCCCTCCCTCTCTCCCTCCCATTTTCTCCCCTCTCCCTTCCTCTCCCCCTCCCATTTTCTTCCCCCTCCTGGTTTCTCCCCTCTCCCTCCCTCTCCCCCGACCCATTTCCTCCCTTCTCCCTCTTTCCCCTACTTTTCTCCCTTCTCCCTCCCTCTCCCCCTCTGGTTTCTCCTCAATCCCTCCCTCTCCCCATTCCGTTTTCTTCCCTCTCCCTCCCTCTCCCCACCCTCCCATTTTCTCCCTTCTCCCTCCTTCTCCCCCTCCCATTTTCTCCCCCCTCCCTCCTTCTCCCCCTCCCATTTTCTCCCCCTCCCTCCTTCTCCCCCTCCCATTTTCTCCCCCTCCCTCCCTTTCCCCCTTCTGGCTTCTCTCCTCTCCCTCCCTCTCCCCCACCCAGTTTCTCCCCTCTCTGTCCCTCTCCACCCCCGCCCCCATTTTCTCCCTTCTCCTTCCCTCTTCCTGTCCCAGTTTCTCCCCTCTCCCTGCTCTCCTTCTCCCGTTCTACTACTCATTCTCTTCCCCGTCTCCCCAACTTCTCCCTTTGGCTCTGTAGAGGCCAAAGCCCCTGGAATGACACTGCCTAGAGATCTGGGGCTGAGTGTTGACCTGGGGGATGGGGAAGCCTTTTTTCTCTGTGTTTCCAGGCACTGGGAGGGATAGTGCACAGGGCAGACGGGGTCACAGCCCTGGGAGCCTGGATTCTAGTGGGAAATTGCCGACCTCAGACGTTGAGGAGGGGGGTGGATCTCAGGAGCTCCGCGGCCCCCGTGGCAGGTGGCCCCCGAATGGGACCCAGCAGACAGAGCCCACGCCCACCCCTGCAGAAGGTTCCACTGGACGGTGCCACAGGGACGGCCCAGAGCAGGGGTGATGGGTCGGACCGTGCCGTCATGGGGTCCCAGTGGCTCTGCACAGATCAGGGCACAGACAGGAGGGAGGGCCAGGTGTGGACAGCTGCCCAGCTCAGACCCGCCGAGGCTCGGAACCAGGATGGGGGCAGGGGTGGGGTGGGGGGTGGAGCCCGCGGGATTGCTGGTGGCTGATGTGGTGTGTGAGTGGGCGGTGTTATTGATCTGGACAGGGGTGGGGGCCTCTGCCCTCTGAGAGACAGGGAGGAAGTGGAGAGGAGCTGGCTTAGGGAGGCGGAACTGAGGTTTCCAAGGTGCTTGTGGGGTGTGTGCTGGAGGTGGGTGCCCCCGTGGTCCCAGACTCCCCACCTTACAGTCACCATGGGGGTGGAAGAGGGGCTTGCTAAATGCAGCTGTCCAGGTCCTGTGCCCGCAGGTTCCGATGCAGCAACCCTCTAGGGGCAGGGCGCTGAGGGGAAGGGTTGGAGGGAGACCATCTGTGTGCAGTGGTTGCTGTGCCGGCCTGGCCTGCAGGGGACATGAGTCCACTTGTCTCCAGCACTCCATAGGACAGGCACTCATCCCGAAGGAAACAGGCTGGGAGCTAAGCAGCAGTCTAAGGCCTTTTTAGGGGTGGGGCAAGGTTGAGATCTAAACCCAGGGCTTGGGCTCCCCAGGAGCCCACTGCCCAGGCCTTCGGGGTCAGGTGTGTGGGTTGGAGGCTGGCAGGGGGAGTACAGTGTCCCACAGACCTCCCAGCCCAGGCTAGACCAGCTGCCCACTCTCCATCTGCCCCTCCAGACCTGACCCTGCAGCTGCTGGCTGTGCGGAGGAAGAGCGGGCTACAGGACCCCGGCCTACAGCAGACCCTCCGGGGCCAGCTCCGCCTGCTGGAGAATGACAGCCGGGAGATGGCCCGCGTGCTCGGGGTGAGTAGCCTTCTAGGGCCTGGGCAGGGATGGGAGCTGGAGTCGGGGGCAGGGAGGGACTGAGGTGCAGTGTCTGAGACTGGGGACAGAGGACACAGGCCTCAGAGAGCAAGAGCCACTCGGGAGAGTGGTGGCCTCGGAGGAAGGGGAGGCTGTGATGCCCAGGGGATGGCGAAGGGTTGTTTCTCCCACTTGCTTCGTGGGGGACACTGTGATCGTCCCCTCTGCTCTCCCACAGCCCCAGCACAGGGGACCTCGGGCTGTCGCTTTCTCCACTTGTCCTCCACTCGCAAGGACTGTCAAAGTCTCTTTGATGGGGAGTTAAGGACAAGTGTGCAGTTAGTCTTATTATTTTTTTCCTGGCGACAAAGCCAGCATCCTGCGGGCCTCTGCACACACCAGCGTTCTGGGGAGGCTGGCACAGGGTGTGTCTGGGCCTGGCAGACCTCCCCATGGCTGAGGGCCGGGGGCTTGGGAGCTGGGCTGGACATTACCACCACTGACTGGGGTTGAACCAGCCTGGCCTTGGCCGGTGCCTGTTAGCCTCTATGAACCCTGCTTCCTCAGCCACACACTGGGGATGCTTAGAATTACGTCCCTAGGAGCTGACTTGAGGGTTATGTGATTAACTCACACCAAGCACCTGCAGGGTGCTGGACACATAGTACCTGCTCGACACATGGGGCTGTGGTGCGTGATGTCGGGCACAGGTGCACTGAGTCAGTGTGCTGGCTCTGGGTTTGAATCTCAGCTGAGCCACTTACAGAGGTCAGACCTCGGATGAGAAATGGAGCCTTCAGCGGGACATGGTGGCTCACACCTATAATCCTAGCACTTTGGGTGAATGAGGAAGGAGGATCACTTGAGCCCAGGAGTTCAAGACCAGCTTCAGCAACATAGGGAGACCTCGTCTCTACAAAACATAAAAAAGTTAGCCAGGTGTGATGGTGCACACCTGTGGGAGGGTAAAATGGGTGGATTACCTGAGCCCAGGAGGTTGAGGCTGCAATGAACTGTGATTGTGCCACTGTACTCCAGCCTGGGCGGCAGAGTGGGACCTCATCTCTAAAAGAAAAGAAAAGAAAGAAACAGGGCTTTATTTTTTGTCTCTCAAATGGAGACTCTAATAGTGCCCCGTGACACATACTTCCCGAGAAGAGCTGTGTTAGCTGCTGTTATTTTTCATGTGCCTATCAACACTGATGAGTAGAAATCAGAGGAGAGGGGATGCTGGCTGGGGAGATGGAAATCAGAGCTGATGCTGCAGGTGGGGCTGGGAGCACAGCTGAACAGGAACCAGCTTAGGTGGGGAGAACAGGCGGTCACTGGTGTGTGTGGGATAAGGCAGGTGGAGTGCTGAGGCGGAGGCGTAGAGGGTGAGGGGCCAGGGCATGGGGGCCACATGAGCTCTGGGAAGGGCAGGAGCTTCTCCCCACAGGCTCTGGGGAGCCATGGCTGGCTTGAGAGCAGGGGAGGAGCTGACTTGGAATGTGAAGGAATCTGCCCTGGGTGTGTTGTGCCCCGCTGGGGCCACGTCTGTGAGATGTCTCTGTCATGTGGACTTATCCTCCTGACAGATGCCCCAGAGCTCCTGGGGCCCTCTCGAATTCCTATTTCTTTCTCTTAAGGAATTATCAGCCAGGCTGCTGTCGATCCACAGTGACCAGGACCGGATCGTGGTGACATTTAAGACTTTCGAAGAAATCTGGAAGTTTTCCACCTACCACGCTCTTGGTAAAGAGGTGACCCTCCCAGAATTGGTCATGGGGACGCCTGTTGGAAGGTGCTGGTTACACACCATGCACTTAGATTACAGATTAGTGCTTTATTTATTTATCTATTGTTTTAAGACGAAGTCTCACTCTGTCACTCAGGCTGGAGTGCAATGGTGCAATCTTAGTTCACTGCAACCCCTGCCCCCTGGGTTCAAGCGATTCTCCTGCCTCAGCTTCCTGAGTAGCTGGGATTATAGGCACAAGCCACAATGCCCAGCTAAATTTTTGTATTTTTAGTAGAAATGGGGTTTCACTATGTTAACCAAGTTGATCTCAAACTCCTGGCTTCAGGTGATCTGCCCGCCTCGGCCTCCCAAAGTGCTGGCATTACAGGCGTGAGCCACAAATCCGTGCTTTAGAGCAGGCAGGTTCACAAAGGCCTCACCAGCGAGATAGCAACACTGGTGTGCGCACCTGGTACTCAGGGAGCAATGCCGGGTAGGCGGAGTCGTGGACGGATGTGGGTCTTTGTTGAAGGAATGATATAGGCTGTGCTTCTAGTTGCCTTCACACGCTGCTTTCTGTAATTTCACTCAACCACAACTTGAGGGAAGCTGCCATCCAGTGGCCTCAGTGCTGACCGGGAAAGCTGTTATTTGAAAGCTGACCCACGTGAGCTCTTCCTGAAACATTCCCTGTTCCATTTGGAGGAATTCCAGGCTCTAACGGAGCCTCCCTGGGGATCTTGCTGTACCACCCTTGATTTCAGGGCCGAGTAAGTTAGGGAATAGGAATTGTAGCCACAATTCCCCGAGCACCGGTGAGCAGGGCTGACGCTCATCCCCCTTGGCCGGTTCTTGGAGGAAGTGGCTCATCCTTGGCTGCCCATCCACAGTGGTGGCCATTGAGGGCGGGGCAGGGGGGCGTCCATCCAGAGGGCAGCAGGCTTCCCGTCCCCGTCTTTCAGAGTCCACTGTACGCTGAGTGTGGAGGAAGGATTCCCACGTCACTTGCCTGTGCCTTAAGCGTGCACCGAGCCTCCTAGTTCAGCTGCGGTGAACGAAGGCTCACTGTCCCAGACCGGAGTGGGGAGCTCGCAGCATCCCAGAGACAAGGCTTCAGCTGATAGAAATGGAAACAGATATCAGCTCATAACGTGGGGTGGGGTTCGCGCATGTGCGTTTCAGACTCACCTTGCTGCTAGCCCGCACCCCCCACGGCCTGCACGGCCCCGACCACATGGTCTCTGTCTCACAGAGGGGGATACGGAGGCGTGGGGAGGTCACATAACTTGACCATGGTTGCCGCTGGTGGGTGGTGGAGCTGGGCTTGACCTCTCACAGCCCGGACGGTCAGGCTGTGTGGCCAGCACTGTGTGCACCTCAGGGCAAGTCTCCCTGGACCTGGTCAGTGCAGGGCTCAGCTAACCTGGGGCCACGCAGGCTTCCCTGCCTCCCTGCCCCTCTTCCGGAGCCCTCAGGTGACCGGGCCTTGCCTCCACAGGCTTCACTCATCACTGCCTGGCAAACCTGCTTATGGACCAGGCCTTCTGGCTGCTCTCGCCCAGTGAGGAGGAGGAGACGGCCATCCAAGTCCTTGTGGATGAGAACGCCTTGAGGCTGACCCACGAGAGCCTCCTCGTCCAAGAAGGTGAGTGTTGCACGGGGTGATGGCCGAGATCCAGCTGTGCGGGGCACGCCCGGGCCGTGGGGTGACAGCCTGGATCCCGCTGTGCTGAGCATGCCTGGGGCTGTGGGCTGCGGAGCCTCTGGAGGCTGAGGGGTGTTCCAGGCAGGGAGGTGTGCTTGGTGTGGCACTGTCACTTAGTGGTAGAGACCCTGGCCAGCCCCCAGGGACACAGAGGTGCCTGGGAAACAGCAGAAGAGAGGTTCTGTCTGGTGCCAGCCCCAGCTCGTGTCCCTGGCGTGGCTGCTGCACTAGCCTCGTGGTTGGCCCCGAGTCTGAGGCGGGGACATGAGGCTGTCTTTCCTACCCAACCACAGCCGGAGAGGGCTGCCAGCGGTGGCTGGGCTCACGGGGGCAGTCCACACTCAGCAGAAGGGCCCTGGGGGTCCCACGTTTGGCTCCGCATCGCACAGTCAGGGAAACTGAGGCCCAGGGCGAAGGTCTGAGGCTGAGCCAGCCTCACACAGCACATGGAGGCTGAGCTGGGACCTCGCCCCAGGCCCACCTCCCCATCTGGGCCCCTTTGGGTTTCTGTGCCTGCAGATATTGGGGGAGTCACTCCTGCGGGTGCTGCCTTCGTTGTCTGTCCGGCAGGGGTGTGGGGGGCAGGGCCACAGCTGCGCCCAGTCCAACCACCCTCAGTGACCGCCTCCATCCTTTTGAAGGGCCCTTCTTTGTCCTGTGTCCTGACCACCATGTGAGAGTGATGACGGGTCCCCGGGATGCAGGAAATGGCCCCCAGGCCCTCAGGCAGGCTTCGGGGGCTCCCCAGGGAGAGGCGGCCCCGGAAGCAGACTCTTCACCACCGAGCCCCAGCGTGTCCTCCGAGGAGGTGGCAGTGGCAGCCGCCCCGGAGCCTTTGATTCCGTTTCATCAGTAGGTACCGGCCTTTGCTGCTCTGAGAGCCGTTGGCCTCACCGAGACTCCCAGACCCGGGTCATCTGGAGGTCAAGGGGATGGACAGGGAGTGGTGGGAGCCCCGGACAGACCTGGCCATGGACTTGTTCTGCTGCTTCCCAGCTGTGTGGCCTTGGCAAGTTGGCCACTTGTCTGAGCCTCTGGCCTGCCAGCTGCATGATAGGCCAATGACATCCACCTGGCAGGGCTATCCTGGGGTTCGATGGCACAGGAGGTGTGGCATGAGCTCTTACCAGGCTCATCCAAAAAGCTTTTGAGGAAGTTACATAAAACATGTGTACCCAGAGTGA